TGTTAGCAGCGATGCAAACGCGATGCAATAGCGATGCAGTCGCTAATCGTCGACCTTTACACACGCGCCCGATTTTAGGCAGCGATGTAAACGCGATGCAAGCGCGCGACTGCGTCGATATAAAAATCGATGCATCGATAAACTTGGGATTTATATAGGCTATTGCATCGCAATACAATCGCCTATAAATCGTAAGTGCAGTTACGCGTTTCACGAATTGTAACCACTCTAAAACCAAAAACTGTAGCAACGTTTGACGTTGTTCAATGTTCGTGACGTCAGTTTAAACAAAATGGTGCTCTAAAATTTAGTATCATAAGGGTCTCATTTCAGGGAATGTTTGTCGAATTCACGAATCATCGACGTTTCTCGATCGAATCCAAAATTCTCCTTTGTCTTATTTTCTCTATTTTTCTGTTCTGCTATTCACAGCACTGTAGTTCATCCAGTTTAATACCAGGTAATTGTTGTAGTTATGTACCATACTATTATGTATATAAAAGAAAAACACGTCTATCATCCAAACGAGTGAGTAATGGACTTAAATGACTACTATAATGATTGCTATAATATTCAACGTAATTTATTTAAATATTCTTAGCTACGGTAGTCTTCCGGTGTGCACGAAGTATAGGATCGAGGAAGTACTTTAGATGTGCTAGGATTGTGAAGGATATCTTTGCTTCTACAAAGAACATTGGAAACTTGATAAATTATAAGCCTTTTGACCTTTGGTTCAGTTTCCAGCAAATTCTGTTCTCCTTGCCATAACTAACGCATTTGCGTTTCGGCAACTTTCGAGATATTGTCACTTAAATTAATGTCACCTTTTTTTTTTTTAAATGAGTTTAATGGAAACTAAATAAAAAAATAAAATACCGCCCACAGAGGGTTGTAGGTCCCGTTTTGCTTATCTCAGACATGATAATATCACAATAAAATTTCGCTAAAAATGTCGATTATGTCATTTATGATAAGGCAGAGATTCAGTGTATGTCAAAACTGACACCGAACACGAACACCGAACCTGCTAGGCTTATTCAAAACCGGCTAGGGCAGAAATTCAACACCTATGGCACACCTAACGCTGATGTTGTTAGGCAAAATTGGTTTTATAATCTACTGAAGACGAAATCTAGATTACAAAATGTTAAAATTAAAGAAAACATTGAATGGTCTAGACCAGAGGTGCCCAAACTTTTTGTCTCGTAGACCACGGGCCAATTTTGTCTGTTTTGCGTAGACCCCCCTAATGTGTTTTTTTTTTACAAATTCATAAAACTTGTGTGTGTTTTTGACAGTTGACATAGTGCTACTCACCTTAATAAGTTTAACTGTATGGTGACTAAACTTCAAAAAAAAATGTTAAGTTTTATATATTTATCTAACCGAATGTTGACTCTTCGTAGGTAATTTATATGTTTGTAATTCTTCTTGTCAAGCCAAAGAGCAAGTGAGTCGTATTTTGTGGGGGGGATCCGCCAGCACAATCGGATTGATATATCCCCATTTTACCATGTTATCACGTGTATATCTATAATAAGAAAGTATTATGTAAATACATAAATACTATTTGAGTAATGTGGACAATTCCTTTTAAGGAAGGTGTAAAGGATTCCACTCGCGTCTCCATTAACGCACCCACTATTTTTTCGCTGACATGGAATCCTTGTTGGTCGGAGTGAACCCCTGGGGTTCGATATACGTACACCACTTTGAGAATCATCTGTCTAGATCAGGTTTTCTTGACCTATGGACCCCTCAGGGGTGTAATGAACGCCGGAGATATATGGCGAGCTTACCTAACATAATAGAACAGCAACCGTCACACTAACTATTCATACGTAATAAAGTACAGTTTAATCGCAAACAAAAAAACGAGTAAAACAATATCTAATAGCGTAGCTAGTAAACAATAAAAGCTAAAACTAGTTTTTTGTCTTTTCGGAAAGGAAACGCGGGCTCTTTGACATTTTGAGAGGGGTCCGTGACTAGAAAAAAGTTAGGAAACTCTGGTCTAGATCATGTGTTTTTAATTCCTGTTGTGAACATTTGTCAATTTAATGGAGCTTCTGACGTATAATCGTATTCAGCCCTGGTAAGACGATTCATTAATTATTTCTTTTAATTGACATTTAAATATATTATAGGGTCAAGGGCACGTCAAGCTCGACACTTAAGATTTAAATTCAACTCTATGACGTTTGCGATAAGGACGGTCGCAATTGTTTTGATTGTACTATTTTTAAAGTCACAAGCGCAATTAGAGTTTTACGAAGTCTGAGGATTGTATTGTTAACCTAATTCATTGTTTTCATTATCTTTTTATGAGTACACCAATTACCTGTCTGAAACTAGGAACATCCCCGTTCTTTAAGTACCAGAGCAACGAAAATAATTAAGGGAAACTACTCAAAACACTATATATACGGCTTTCTAATCTAGCACCTACAGTGTTAACCCCTGGCCTGCCGAAGTCAAACGTAGCTAATTATTTGATATTAAAAGTTTTGTGAGTTACGCAACGCAGTACCTATAGGTATACTGCAGATAAGTTTATAAATAAACCTAGATTTTATAAATAAATAAATCTCTATTATCTTTTTTTATAACATCAAGTGACGGGACGAACAAGTCGTGCGCCTGTCTCGAGTCAAGAAAAAAGGGGGATTTATTAAGAATTTAAATCCTGAGATGAAATGTTTTAATTTACTTACAGTGTGATTTTTTTATCTGGGACAGTATGGGGAATCCCGAAACTATAGGTGGTACAAGGAAACTGTCTTAGGAACCATTAGGTCTTTGGTTTGAGAAAACAATTTGACACAGGCAATTTGGTCAAGCGTGTATTGTCCTTAAAATTTAATAACAATGTAAATTTCAACTTCTCTCAGTTTCTCAGACTCAGTTTCTTGTGAGGATCCAACATAACACACACACATTCCATCATAATAGACAACTGATCAGTGAATGAAATTTTAAATATGAGGCTTTGGGAATGGAGTATGAACCCCGTTATATGTTGGTATTTTCATATATTATAATCTTTATCGATCACATGTTTTATCAAGGACCTTGAACTACAGTTGCGACGATAAAGTGACTTTTAGAGAATTGTTCATCACAAAAGTTCTCAGCCATATAGTTTTATTTTTAGAAGCAGTAAAAATTATTGAAAGCCAGCAAGCATTGTCTTATTATTATTACATGTAAACCGTCTTATAAAGAAAACCCTTCTTAGAAAAGGATAAAAAGTAATTTTTTTAATATTTTATTTTTGTCCATTTTTTACGTTCCACTAAATTTGCCGAAGCGTGTAGTTTATTTAACAAGTTCACTGATGACAAGATAATGCTAGTACGAACTTTGATCAGTCAGTTATGCAATCTTTTTAGAACTATAATTATTATGACAACATAAGAGCGTAAACAACTATATTATGTAGATTACGTACTATGTATATGTTACGGCCAAAAAAATAACAGCAAATACTTGAAATAATTTTTTTACCACATAATGCAATAAACGATATGACAATGATCATCGCGATGGCTTAAAAACGGAGTATGTTATAACTATAGGTCGGAAAAAGGTGTTCCACATATATAGAATATAGATACATGTATAGACATAGCTACAAGGAACGACATAGAGTTGTTAAAGCCACCAAATATTGCTTAATTATTTTTTCGAATAATTTTCACTGCATCGTAGGACAAACTACTGACCTAGGAAGTCGAAGTTGGATTTTAAAATAATTCTAATGGTGCCAAGTAAAGTCTGTTCCATGCCAGAAAAAAAAACAAAAAAAAAGTATGCCAGAAAAGAAAACAAATCGGTTTGGTTAAAATTCTAAAGCAACCACTTAATAAATGGAATAAGTAACATTTTTCACGTAGGTATAATTTGAAGATTTCGACTTGATATCTCATCACTTTTTCCAGCAATATTCATTTGAATAACATATTAAAATCTCATTTAAGGCCGCCGCAGACTCCGCTCTTCGACCGCGCTGGATGAGCGCGATGAAATTCGTGTCGTATAAACGCGCCCTTACTCATGTACAGCACATCTATTTATCTTCTTAAATAGAATAAAGAGAGGATTTTCTTTCAATCCGAAATTCGAAATATTAATTAATTAATATTTGGTGGTTTTAACAAGTCTATGTAGCGACATAGAGTACAAGAAGCGCCGTGTAGCTATATCTATATATGTGGAACTCCTTTTTCCGACCTATGGTTATAACATAACTATAAGAAAGAAAACCAACGTTGTTTAGAGAAAAAACCGGAAATAGGTAGAGCATGTAGCATGCATGAATAGTCATAAATGGCGTAAACGAAACAACATACAAATACAGGGTAAAATAACAGTCAGATTGCTGAGTGTGATGGACCGATGAAACAAAAAAGATCGCTGAAGAGAAATACGCTATAGACACGCAAAAAAAACAAATGAAGGAGGTTTATTTGAACAGAACGGTTTGCAATAACGAAAGTGATTGTATGTGTTTAAAATCAAATAAACATTAATTAAAAAGTAAACTTGTTACGTCCCGAATGATGTTATATTATATTAAAAATTATTGACTAAGAAGTACGTAGCATAGCATTCATTGCGAAGATTTTATACATATATGTAGTTTACTGTAAGGACGTCCGTACAGTAAATAACATTGATTAATTAATACAAACTTTATTTCTGAGGATTGTCGGAAATGCTCGCGTAAATTTACATTCTATGTAACTTATTTAGAATCTGTTTAATATACTGCCAATAACTAGTTTAATCAAGACGTTGTAAATGTAAAGTTGGTATGTAATTAAGTAGGTACCTACTTCGATTGGAATGATTGTTGCGTAAAACATCAATTGTTTCAAGCGAAAATACAGGCATAACGTGACAATGCATTTGCACACAATTGGAAGAAAATCTTCAAAATGTATGAAATGAAAATTAAAACATTATTGGAAAATAATGGAACGTTGAATATTTACCGTTGCAGAGTTGAAATATTTCTGGAAATATTCCGGGTAATTTAATCGAGTCCTGAGGAGTGATTAAATTAGCCGCAGAAATTTCTCCAAGCGAAAAAGTACTCAATGGATATCGAAACACAACACTTTTTAAATCTTCAGTCACAAAAAAGCGGGAAAGTTATTCAAAATTAGAATTCTGAAATGTCGTTGTTTGTTTTAATAAATTTCATCACTGTCCAAGGTACTGTGTCATTCAGCCAATATCGAAAACTTTCGAGCACAGTTCTACGAACGCGTCCAATCGCCGCGAACATCAAATCGAGTGTGCGTACGTAAACATTGTAGATGCTATTGTGGCGCGAAGTGAGGTTCCAGCGCACTAATTTACATTTACGCTTGACTAACAGCGCTGTCGACGATAGGGAGAGGTGAAACGAGGCACGGGGATATTCTTTCCTCAGCACAATTGATTAGGTATCCTTTTAACTGCCTGCAAACCGGGTTTGTGGTGCGTATAGTTTTTATCAGAAGGCTATTGAACGGTACAAACAAAGTGAGTAACGCCATCTAGGCAATTATTCTGTAACTTGTTGATTTCTGGAGTGACCTATTACTGTGTTGACCTGCCAAGGTCGTCCTGCTTGTCCGGGTCAATGTAAATTTCGATCTTATACGAAGAACTTGATTTTTAAAAATAGGTACCACCAAAAGTGTGTTATAATTTATTTTATATCAACTGACAGGACGAACAAGTCATGCGCCTGGTGTTAAGCTATGCGCCTGTCTACAGCAGTTGCAATGCCACTCAGAGCTTTAAATCTTAAATCGCAGATCTGACGGGCTGTGTCACATGATGAATTAAACATCCTATTCGTGAACGTATTAAGTTTTTTTTTTTTAATAACGCATACACTCAACATACCCCCGCATTAGGGAAACCCTGTGTCGCGGGTGCATGGAGGTCCACAGTCTCTGCCTACCCCTGAATGTATGTAAAGCGAGATTTTTATATATTTGTTCTATGTATTACAGATAAACTGTATCTCAATACTGTGCTCGGAGTTCTAAATAAGTTGAAACAAAATTATCAGGACTTCATAATAAGAATATTGGTTACACAAAATTTTAATAAAGAGCACGTTAAAACTGGCTTTCCGTAGAATTTTAAATATTGGTTGTATTTCATTATTTTAATTTACTCGCAGAAAAAGTATTGTAGGCAATCATTACATAATTGGACATAGTTATGCAAACTAGAACCAACCCTCAAAATGTGACTTTCGAGTTAAGTAGATTTTTGTAAAAACAGTGTGAAGAAATAAACAGGTAAGTTGTTTGAGGCAAATAACGTGAGTTATGTACAGCATCGAGAATGATACGGGGAAACTATTCTATTACATAGCAATAAATTTAAACATAATGTATCTTTTTATTTAGTTAACGAGTACCATGTTCTAGTTTTCGTAATGCAAACACTAAAGGTGTACAGTACTTCAGTACATGTGACATGGATCCATTTAGTATATTTAAAAAATTACATTATGTGAAGTTACGCAGCATGGTTCTTTTTAGCTACTAAAAGTTACTTATTTAGGGGTTGGTACCCTGAAGGGCTTTTATTTTCTCCGTTTTGGCTTGGGGTATATTGCCAGGATCTTTTGTGAGCGGGTAAAGGACACGTCTGGTGTTCTACCTAAGAACATAACTCAATTTCACTCGAGGTGTGGGTTGGTTCTTGTTTGCATAAATAAAATCTCGTACCTATTGCTTAAATCACTCGTTGAATCAATCCTAATTTTTATTACAAGTAAATAAACATGATAATTTACTACATACTACGTTATTTTTATTTATAAACTTCGGGTTTTATAAGACTAAAATAGGTACAAATCCATTGCAAGCAACTCGAGTCGTTTAAGTCTTTTAGTATAACGACTGAGTCTTATTAATAAAAACTCTAACCTCCAGTCTTAGAGTAGAGTCCTGTAAAATGGAGTAGAGTTGTTATAAAACGCCTTAAAAGACTGGAGTCTCTTTCATCGCTAGTCCCATGTGCCTGTAATTTCATCAGCACCCTTACCCTTCAAAACCGGAACGCAGTAATACTGAGATTACTGCTTCGCGACAGAAATAGTTAAGGTGGCAATACTTCCCTGGACGAACGCTTTCACCAGGAGCTCTACTGCTACTAATATTAATTCAAATGCCTTAAAACGTTCTCTAGATCAGATCTTTTCAAGATTGATTTTATCGGATTATTAATACGTACACGGGTTAAGTCATTTTAATATCACCGTCTTATTTACCGGATTAGGGTTTACGTATGTCACATAAAAAAATAACTAATAAATAGTGGCCTTTATTAAAGTAGCAATAATCTAAATACTTGTTCTTAAAAGTAGCAATAATCGAAATACTTGTTCTTAAAAGTAGCAATAATCTAAATACTTGTTCTTAAAAGTAGCAATAATCTAAATACTTGTTGTTAAAGGTAACAAAAGATGCTCGACAAAACTCGACAACTAATTTAAATAATCGTGACTTTTTCCTCTTTCATTGAAAACAAAATCTTGGGCCTTTCCCATAAGGTAAATTAACAAAAATACAATAAACAAGTCTCGGTGAACACATCTGACTTGATTTTCAAAATAAGATTATAACCTTAGATAATAAAACACACTTTTCTGTCAACACATTTACGCTTATAACTAAGAATATCAATGAATTTATCTTCAACGCCCTGCATGCCTATGAAGTGACCTCACTGCCCCGGGCTGTGACGTCATAGGCGACCGAACATCAATGAAATCAAATCGAAGTCTCTTAAAATCACATAGTCTTTCATACTTAATAAGTAATGCCCCTCGGCTTCACGTTAATTTACCAGCAATTCTTAGGCAATTTTCTTAATCTTTACGTAACTCTATCTAAAATGGATACAATTAAACAAATATCTAGTTTAGAATATTGCTCCTGCTACTACTCCCTATACTCTGGCCAAATTCGATGTAGAATAAATCGCACTTGAAAATTAACATAGTATATTACCTCAAATATTGCGTTATATTATATTTTATCTCAAAATTGCGATACATTAATAATTTATGTCCAAAATTTCGTTACATTTGTACCTATTATTCGAATACGATTTAAATTCAAAGTGACAGGACAACACTGTCGCTTTGAAATTAAATAAGTATTATTAATATAACTTAAAGCAATTGTGAGATAATACTATGTTAGTTGTCATGTGCGAAATGTCAACAAAAAACAATATTTTTAGGGTTATCACCTCCAACTGTTATACAGTTATCACAATTTCTTCCCCCAAATCGATTAGTCTGTTAGATAGATAGATAGATAAAAACTTTATTCACTTCCATGACAGCTTATTTGCATAGGATCCACTAAACCTAACACCATTATTATTATTATATTGAACCACTTAAAATAACAAATTTTTATAACAAAAGGAACATATAACTACACACATAACTAATTAAAGTAAATAGTGTTGGAAGTCATGGTAGTGAAAAGGCGTTGGCTCAGCATAAATGCCGCGGTTTCCCACTTCGTTGGTATTCTGCCAGAACCGTGTTTAAAGATAGTTTGTAATTGATAATACTGATCTTGAAGTCATGTCTGTGATGAATTTTCACTAGTAAATTATTTAAAACCATCATGTAAAATATCAGTAATTATTATTTTATAAAACTGTGTCATCTCGATTTTTTTATTTGAAGGGAGATACTGCAAACATTTTTAGTTTGAGTAGCAATTCAAATTCAGAATCGGAAATTGATGCTATGCTGGATGAGATATGTAGTAAATTAACATAAAATAAAATCATACAACTTTGTTTCTTTTTATCTACCATAACCATTGACTTACAAATAAATGGACGACGGGTCTAATACAAAAACCACGAAAAAAATGTCCCAAGTCAACCTATTCGAAATTTAAATTGTAATGTCATCGCAGTATCGCGCTGTCAGTCGAACAAATGAAGACTAAAGCGGAGTTTGGCGCTCTGTATACGATTTTAGCGCCTTACAAGTGCGGACACTTTTTAGCGCGGACCCAACGTCCATATAATTGTAAGTCAATGACCTTGACCTACTATATAGCAGTATTAAAAATTTAATTCACAAATTATAAGTATCATAGGTACTTGCGAACCAATATTTGGCCCGGTAAGTATTACTATACGTAAACCAGTGTTGGGCGTTAATCAATTAAATTTCAATCAATAATTCAATCAGATTAAAAAATCAATTCAATTGAAATCAATTGCAATTAAATCAATTGCGAGCCGGGCCCCCAATCGGGCCTCCAACCGGGGCCCCCAACCGGGGCCCCCAACCGAAACCCCAACCGGGGCTCCAACCGGGCCCCTCAACCGGCCCCCCAACCGGGGATCCCAACCGGAGACCCTAACCAGAGACCCCAACCGGGGCCCCCAACCGGGCCCCCCAACCGAGGCCTCCGACCGGGCCTCCAACCGGGGCCCCCAACTTGGGCCCCCAACCGGGCCCTCCAACCGAGGCCCCAACCGGGCCCCCCAACCGGCCCCTAAAAAATAACCTACATATGGTGCAAACAATATGAAATCAAACAAACACTGGCTGTAGCTTGTTTTTTCGTGAGCGTACTTACTTTTTTATTTAGGCGTATATAATATATATTACAGTTGGCATTTTTATTTAAATGAAACGAACTTGTAAAATGTAAATTTTGCAGATAAAAATGTAGCTTTTGTAATTCTCGATTCAAGGTCCTAGTAACATTACAGCAACACTGTTGTTGTTGTTGTTGTTGTTGTTGAACATATTATTACGATTTAGACGCGGATAATAGATAGCTATGCAATGAAATCAAGCATAAACAAAATGGCTATGTTTAGCACCAGCCCCCGTAGCATGGCTACGCATGATAGTCGCAACGCACGCGATAAAATTGAAATGAGCGTGCGCTATTGGCTGTCTCAATCAGGGGCCTTACCATGCACTCTTATTACGATTCAGTTTAGGACTTAATATGAATCGTAGTGAGACAGCGCTACATGAAGTGTATATCACCATCCCGCTTTTTTACCTATACTGAACTGTAATAAAAGTTCATGGTAAGGCTCCAGATCTAATTTAGATAGCCAATAGCGCGCTTATTTCAATTTTATCGCGCGAATCGCGACTATCATGCGTAACCATGCTACGGGGGCAGTTATAATTAAAATTGATTAATATTAACTGCCTGTAGATATCGAATTATAAAATCGACATTATTCTAATTGCATGAAGCAAAACTCGTAGTTTCAAATATGTGACTTATAACAATAAGATAATAGATAACAATAAAATATAAAATGAAAAAAAAAGAACGTTAACTTGTGCATCGAAAGATATAATCGTAAAATTTGCAAATCGTGGCATCGCATCGTCCAATCATGTGCGTAGCGCCATTTCTCTCATTACCTATTGCATACTTGCTTGTTCGCGCGACGCAATCGCAATCACAGGATAGCAACAACAGGGGGTCTACTTTCGATCTCCGTCCAAAACAATTACTCAACCAAATTAAAAAGCAATGTCAAGTATGAAGCTTCATTAGCAACATGGGTTTTATAATTTGGTCAAGTATTACTTATTGACTGTTGGTCAGTTAACCCGTGACCATGGAGCGTGCAACCGTTCCGAAATATCGGGAAAATAAAAAGAAATCATACATCGTGGTAAGAAACCTGATATTAGTGATAATCTAAGAGTATTACTTATATGTTTCGGACGGAGAACGAGAGCAAAGGGTCAGTTTAGACTGGTTATTCGATAATGAGTTATAGAATGCGTAAGAGTAATAATACATTGCTTAATCTGGTGTTGCAATAATGACCACCTCTACTTCTCACAACGATTTATTTTAGGTCCTAAACTGAATCGTAATAAGAGTTCATGGCCCCTGGCCGTGGGTCTATGCCATCATTGGCTGCCTAACAACGTTTTGTTACTAAATATTCTACTTCGAATTTGGCTAAAGTATAATTACTATTATGAAGATGTAATCATGACGTACCTTCACTAAGCAATTATTATTGTTGATTATTCACCGAAACCGATCCTACTAATTAAACTTATACTAACACACCATATTTCTAATCCTCTATCTCAACCTTTAGAAGATCGGGAACGTCCATGAATGTCGGCGGATGCTGTTTCCTATGATTGATTATCTCAGGACCATACTGCTTCAGACGCCACAGTGAGAAGTTTTTGGCTTCGCGGTGAGATGTGCTCTGGAGATGATTCTCCAGGTCTTCATAACTTGTTTGGACAACGTTGCAGTAGCCGCAGTGGTAGACTTCTGGGCGGAGCTGAGAAGGTAAATAAAACTTTAACTTATAGAATGCTATCAGGTGCCTTGACTGAACTTCAGAGTTGTGGACGTGGCCTAAACCCTCTCTTTAAAGGACACCCATGCCCGAAGTGGGATGTATGTGGGATGACACTAGTAATGTATGTTAAAGTCAAGTTGCATGACAAAAAAGCGAGACAGGCTGTTACTACTGCTAGAGTAGATATCAACAAGATAACTTCATCAGACTGGTGCAATGTTTTGGTGTAGTAAAACGACTCGGAGGACCTGGTTTTCTTTAGGGATTAGCACTTTAAAGAAATCTAATTTTAGAAAGTCAAGAGCATTATAATAATATACACACTCTATGTGTGTTTCACGCCTAAAGTAAATAAGTAGCGCTATCACCGACTGATAAATTTTTGATGCGACGATGTGCGCTTGCGTCTCAAGAGAAAAAAAAGGCATGACTTACCTCCCGAATGAACTCGGACTCGAACGAAACTATAACCATCGTTTCGCACATAGCTCTGTGATGACTGCGCGAAAACTTATGTTGTTCCACTTGCTCGTTGGTCAAATTCATCTCACACGCTTCGCATCTCAGTCGGTACTGCTTCGTTAACATAACAAAGCTGTAATTGTTTAATACGTATTTTTCATTTACTATCACATCCCTAATGTATGCGTTTTCGACAGCAACTACATCTGTTATGAAGTCTTTCATTTTTGCCTTTTTCATTACAGTCTGTGTAAAACTTGGTTTCGTTGACTTCATAGCTGTGTTGTTTTTATGTGTTGTGTCTGAGACATGTTTGTTTATTTTCTTTATTGTAGAAATGAAATGGACGTCACATGCAGAGCAGTAAATTTTGTTACTGTTACGATTGAACGTCAAGTTATTTGCTTTTACGAGTTTTTCGATGTCATCATCGGATTCTCGAGTTGAAGCAGCTGAGCTGGCTCGAGACTCTGACTCTCTTTCCTGTTTTTTCATCATTTGAGCTTTCTTTGTTGTAGGAGATTGAGGCTTCTTGGTGTCCTCTACTATCTTTTGCGTTTTTTTGGCATCATCCACTTTTTTGTTGTTATTGGATGGCTTCGTTAATTCTTCTTTTTTATCGTCTTTGTGTTGCTCGATTATATGATTCTCAATTGCTAAATGATTAAAATCAAGAACTTGGCTACATCTCTTACAGAATGCGACATTGCTTTTGCATTCCACTATAATATCGTTTTTGTCCAATTTCGGTAACATATCCAATATTTGATTTGTGATCTTTTGCTCCGTTTGGGCGGGAGTACATTTGTCTGAACCTAATTTATTAGTCTTTTTCTTTTCCATCCTTTCTTTATGCATTTTCAGTATAGTTTGATGATGTAAGCTTTGAATATGTGCATCTGCTGTAAGGACAGTCCAGTCACAAAGTATGCACCATTTTTTACCATTCTCGTCACTAGCTATGTAATTATTAGCATTCAGAGCTTTACAAATCTCCTTATCGAAATATAGAGTTCCTTTTTCAAGTTTCGGTTTTGCTTCTTCAGGCTTCTTAATTTCTGGTGTAGATTTTTTTACTGACTCTGTTGGGGTAATTGGATTTTTGGCACTGATTTCTGGTGTTGATTTTTTAGCTGAGTCAGTTGAGGAAATTTGATTTTTTTCACTGACTTCTGGGATTACTTCTTTTTTTACTTCAATAGGATCAGGCTTGGGTATTTCTTTTTTCGATTCATTTTGTGGGTCTAGTTTTTGTTCTTTCCCAGTTGTAACAGATGTTTCAGAGTTTTCAACCACTTTACTTACATCAACTGGTGGCTTTTCCTTTTCATTAGCAATAGAAGCGATGTAAGCTTGACGACATTCAGAATATAGTTTCTTGTGGTTTGTGTCATCGACATGTGTGGACATCGTTTCTATTGCGAGTACATCATTGCATGTGAGACATTGGAACGAACTTTCGTCAATCTGTAAAAAAGACAAGTATAAGTATTAACCAATACCACAAATTTCTAAGTTTAAATTCCATAGCGACTGGCTAAACGAAAAAGACGTCAAAGTAAAACAAACAATTTTCAAATAATAAAATTACTTATTATTAGCAAAAAAATTTTTTTAAAGCAAGTTTATTAACACTTCTAATCGATTTTTTTATTATCATCAACCAGCAATTCATATTACCTTTCGATACACGGTATTATCTGACCCAAATTCAATGTTACTCTGAATCAAATTAATAATGTGCATTGCTTCGGTCTTATGAATGCCTTCATTGTCAAACTCCACTCCACAAATTAAACATGTGTCTTCTTTTACACCATTCCATGCTTTTTCATTGATTAAGACATTGTCGAAAGCTATAATGGAGCTTCCAATACGCTTTAGATGTTGGGCACTTTTGTTTTCCACATGCACCAGTTCAACTACGTGTAAACCCACTTTGGCAGCAGTAGGGAGAAGGATGTTGCAGTATTCGCAAAAGTATCGTTTTTTGACCTATAATTAGAAAAATAAACATTCATTTCTGTAATTAGGACTGGATGTTTAGGGGTATCACTAAGGTGATTATCACACTGCCCCGCACCACACAGCGGAGTGCCGGACGACGGATCACGCGTGGAGTGACGGAGACGCAGATCTGCCGTCCACCAACTAAAACGCTGCTAAGTGAGAAATGGTCAAATAACCGTTTTAAATAGCAAAACATAGAGCACAAAATTCTCTTTTAAAAACAGTTAAAATTAGTTAACGTGTTCGACTTATCGGAACGTACCCTATGCATCGCTGAAATATCATTAGATAATTTCAATATTTTAAAACTGCCCCGTGCTGTGGCAGAGGTACTGCGGTCTAGAGATGGGAAAAACTGCTTATTTTTACAAACGTGTCAACGTTGCTGCTTTTTTAAAAAAGCGTGCTATTTTAGACGCTTTTCACTTAAACACTTTTTAGTATAATAATAATAATAATAACGCACACACTCAACATAGCCCCGCACTAGGGAAACCCTGTGTCGCGGGTGCCATGGACACACATATAGACAACCACAAATTACACCCAAACTCACGAGAGAAATAAATGTAGGCCATACAAACATTTCTCCCGACCCGGGAATCGAACCTGGGACCTCTGCGTGGCAGTCCGGCATGGTAACCGTTCGGCCACGGAGGCAGTTAAAATGTGAAGTAAAGTATGAAGCTTAAAATGTCGTTCAGGAAAACGTTTACGCTCATAGACTTTTATGTTAAAAAAGCTTGCAACGTGGTGTTGATAGCGAAAAGCAAGAGTAGACACTAAAGTTCTAAGTAAGTTTATTTGTAAAACACGAGTTTTATTATAATTTATAAAATTATTATTCACATTGACGAATTAATTTGTTTAAGAAACATAAATGACGGGACTTGAAACTTAGGCACGTTGTAAAAAATGAAATTGTTGATATAGAACTGACCAACCCTTACGCTTAAAATGAAAAGCGCGCTAAGTGCTTATTTTAAAAAGCAAACTTTTTAAAAGGCTTCTCGTTTAAACGCCCACTTCTACTGCGGTCCCGCGCCAGATAAAGATCACTTCGCAGTTGCTCACCGCGGTCATTGTACATATTTCTGAGATCCTTCTTTGACAAAAATAGGTAATAATACAGAACTCATTCAGGACGCTGCAGTTATACTATCTATTTGATACTTGAATACTCAAGTAAAACGACACCGTGCCCGTAGAAGATATTGGATATATCCGTTTTTACAAACGAGATCGATAAATAGATCATTTGAACTGTACCCGAACACTTCAAAAAGTATCCACGCTGAAGATAAAACTACCATCTACATGTGTCTCGTCTACGTGTCTCTCGACAGTATTACATTAAAAGAAAAAGAATATCTACGAAATGAAAATAAGTATCGCACTTGATAGTTTATGTACTTTGGTATCATTTAGTAGGTAATTTTTTTCTGAGCATGTAATACTGTAGAGATATAGATGGCAGTTTTATTGTCAGCGTGGATACTTTTTGAAGTGTTCTAACAAAATCTTATTCATTTATGTCAAAATTTTATCAGTTTTTACGTGGAAGGTCATAGTTACTATTACACTATCGTCTGTCTACTACATCAACTGCTCCGTCCTCAATGTGAAACGAAAAACCAATGCTATCGCCTCTATGTCAATCCTGTCAAAAATAAATACCTACTTGTTCTAAGTTAATATTAACAAACTTCACCATCTTACTAACCTTTCTAATACAATCATCCTTATATTTGTCGAAATAACCTGTTGTATCAAGATTCTTAATATGGATCGGTTTAACAATGTGATAGTGTACGTCTTCTGTATTTCGGAGATGGCTCTCGCAGACCAAACAGTACGCATCGATGTGGCCAGTTATTACGGCATTATTGAGGAATCTAAATGCCATGGTAGCTGAAAAAAATTAGAACTGGTTTATTTTTAAAACTGTCTAGGTGAGAGGTATAGAAGCGTATGTCCATATTTAGGAATTCAGATGTTTATACAGACATTGCCTTATCACGCAATGGTAAGAGATATGAAATTGTATCGTTTGTTTTTTATTTAATATAATTTATATGGCCTTAAGATTATTTTTAAATACCTAATTAAGAGCCTCATTCTCTTTAAAACACTCTGTAGCATAAAATTACTATTTGTCACTTAAGGTTCTTTCTTTACCTACTTATATTTATAACTTCATTCAATAAAAACTAATAGACAATAAAAAAGATCGTAAATACAACCCAAAGATCAGTAAAGGCTTCGTCAATAGATACCATGACACAAAAATTGGGATTTACAAGAGATTTTGTCAAAAATTTCTAGGGTCGTTTTCAGATAACCTCCAAACATGTGTCCCTTTCAATAACTTTTATATTATTACATGAATGCTAAGCATTATTTCTTTAATATGATTCCTTGCTTACTAAGTCTGTGTTACACATAAAAAGACTGCTTTACTACTAAATAAAAATTAAAAAAGCGGTCAATTTCTCATTCATGGGAGCCGGTTCCAAGTCGACCTAATTTTAAGAAAAAAAGAAAAAAAAATTAAACACTCGTGGAAATCGCAATATTTTCCATCGAGGATAAACTCTAATAATTTTCACGTCGAATACAAACCGTAACTTTCCAATTTATTATACAAACACGTTTTCTTGGGAATACAAAATGTGTTTCAATTTTTCTTATCATTAGTGTCACTTTAACTAAAAGTCTCCTAATAACAAAAGTTCATACCGCATCACCTTCACTCTTCGCACACGTGAGAATCCTGTCGGATTGGAGTGTACACAGTGAAGTTACCTGTGCATCTCCGTTTCAGCAAAAAATCGACTTAAATACCAATTTCAGCGCTAGTTACTAAAGCAATCTATCTAAATAAGTATTAAGTAATAATTATTAATGCAAAGATCGAACACCCAGAAAAATATCCTTCGATCCGACCGGATCGAAGGATATTTTTCTGAGTGTTTTTTCTGAGTGTTCGATCTTTGCATTAATAATTATAACAAACTAGTGGAGTAATTTCACAAAAAATAATTGAATATCAATTCAATAAAAATTTAATTATTAAGTAATAGTTTTATAAAATTTATTGTACATCAATCATACAAAGGGAACTTTAAAATCCATGCATTTTTATAAAGGTCCAGCATATTTTACACACTTGACAATTAAAAATGTATCCAAATATCATTATTGTCGCTCTCATTCTTGTCTACTTTTAAGTCAAATAGTTACTTTAAGCCAAATATTTACTCGAAATATAACAATTAGATGGTGGTAGTGGTGGTGATGACGGTGGTGACGATGATGATGGTGGTGATGATGACGATGATGATTGTAGTGATGATGTCGATGATTGTGATGATGATGTGAATGGTAATGATGCTGATGATCATGATGATGATGTTGATGGTGGTAATGATGATATATTGATGTACAACAAAGTTTATGTGACATTAACAAAATACTTATTTAGATTTATTTATTAATTACATATAGATAGATAGATGGTCTTACACGGATGAGAAGGATTTTGATACAAGAACTTCTATTAAAATATTTGTTACATGTTAAATGATGTTAAATGTTCTTTATTGAACGATAAAATGTGTGTTGTAATAATAATTTCTCATTACTGTGCTGTCTTTCTCATTTATGTTAATGAAAAAATAATTCGTGTTACTGCAATCTCATTCGTGTGACCTAAAAATATCGCGTTTTGTTGTATTTAACTTAAATATTTCTGTGATTTTATAATTATTGACATAGCTTGAACTTATTTGTACGTTTAAGACCTTAAAACCAAAAGAAAAAAGGGTTTTACAAAAATTACTCAAAAAGTGCCATTGAAATTCGGAAAGTGTCCTGTATCGTGTTTGACTCAAAAGATCCCATTATACTGACAGCATTGCCTCCCAGGATGGCAATGTTGAACCAACCACGACCCAAAGCGGTGATCGCAGCCCCTATTTTATTTTTAAATACACATACTGACATTTTCATATTAAACATTGCCGTTCTGCCATATTAAACAAAGTGGCAAAGGTACTTAAACTTGTTACTTCAGTTTTTACAGTCGTGTACAGTACATAGCCGGGCTTTCAATAAGAAATGATATTGAAGAATCATGTAGTCTCACGTTCCCATGTTATATATTATCAAAGTTGAAATACGATGCCACATAATATAACGCACATAAAACTAAATACTGTCGTAACACAAAATTACGCAATTGAGAAAACCTAATTTAAAAATTTGAAAAAAAAAAAATTTGAATGGAATAATGTGATTATTTTTATTTATACATGATACTTAATTATCCATTTATAAACGAAAATATATATGAAATCAATATTTCATTCAGTATTTTGGTTTTCATTTTCAAATCATATTTTCACAACTCCACAATTTTGAGTTACGACAGTTTTTAGTTTCGTAGGCGATAAATAAATCTGTAAATTTCGTTCTACGTTATACATAATAATCTTTTACGTTCGTAATACCATATTTATTTTAGAATTTTGGTTTTAGAACAATTGTCTCACCCACAGGTCACATCCGAAGTGACCTGGTGAGGCGAGAACATTTATAATTACGAAAAAATGCTTTATTCCTGCTAAATAAATAAAATAGAAAATAGAAAAAATGTTTGGAAAAGGATGCAGCATTAGATTTACAGGTAAGCAGTTTTAATTAAATAAAAATGTTTAAGTGGGGAAATTGAATAAAGTTTTGAACACACCATGCTCAATTTCTACTTTATATCTGTTAACTAACATACGTCTCTATTTTTCGTGCGGTATGGAATTATCCAATGGCAGCCACGCTTCTTTATAGTTACTCAAAACGGGCCAGTGTGAGCATTGTCTTTGTTAATGACAATAAGTTAAGGGTTAACGGGTCTAGGAACATTAAAGCATTTAATATGTCGATGTCATGTCAATAAACCATTTTTCATTTGTGGGCGATGAAGACTTCAATGACTTAAAACTTTAATTAAACAAAACATTAATGTAAAAAAGGGACAAAGTTCGGTCCTAGAACTGCCGCCTTTGCCGATAAAAGCCTTGCGATCTAAATGAGTGCCAAGTAATAGTTATTTGTTATGCAAGGCTGCAAAGTTGTCGTTTCACGCGAGTGCTTGTATTGAAACCTGAGCAAGCGAAGGAAACTAAATTTGAAGTACGAGCGAAGAGAGTTTGCTGCCGAGCGAAACTCACAACTTTTCACGTCACCATAGCGACGAAAATAGTAAATGAAAGAAACACATCAGTTTTGATAAACAAAACTAGTTATGGTTGTCAATTTCATGTCAACAATAATAAGAATAAAATATGCCAACGGATCGTAGAGGGAGAATAAACTCCCTCTACGCAACGGATTTATATCACATAAATAATGTATGACAAATCGCATTTTTTTTTTCATCGAAAGAAAAAGTTAGGTGCACCACAACAGTTTACGTCAAGTACGCTTTTGCGCGCAGATTTCTAATGAGAAAGAAAGCCTTGCCGAGCTATTGAGGTGAAAAATATGTAACTTAGATGAATTGTAAAATAAAATATCATTAATATATCACCATTTGCAATATCATGCAAAGTATTGTCAAACCAACTCAGTCTGCTACCTACTTTCCTATACTGGTAGATATTCCTGTATTACTTATTCCCTACATCTTATCTGACGCACATATTATAACACCCTGCTGCTTACTACTTACATAAGGATACAAACGTCATTTGCATCCTTGCCACTTACTACTTATTTGAGGGACACGGTATACACGCAGGAAATGAAACTAGTTTTTTCCGATCTAAATCGCTTATATTTATTTTTTCAAACAAACTAACTTTTCGGACCCCTTACAGGTTCCACGGTCACGGCGTAAAAGTACCTAGATTCATTGCCAATACGCTAATAACTCCCTGCTACTTACTATTTACGTAATGGGTATATACGTCGTAGCTCCTGCTACGTATTTCCTGCCACACGTAAATATACGTTAATATCTCCCTGCTATTTACTGTTTACCTGACAGATATTTATGTCGTAACTTCTGCAATATCCTCAAACTAATGCAATCTAAATCAAGTCGATCTATATCACCTTGAATGTCGCTGGCAGTGGCAAAATCATGTACAGTATAGCTGTACTTGCTCCCCGCATTGCTGTTTCGGCCAAATCCTCGGATCAAGATGGAAATTAAATTAGAATAAAAAGTTATTATTTTTGTCAAAGACGACGTTCTTTTATTTGTTTTGCATACCCAAATTGCTTCAAAAAAATTATAATGGATAAGTTATTAAATGCGTCACATCACAAGTTCGTAAGCACGCTGCAGGCATTTTGTCCGATAATCGGATCCGACAATCTAAAGGCGTTCGTATCATATAATTATTTGTTTGAACACTCAATACACGTCCGATAAGATAATTGGATCGGGCGTCCATGTCGGTAATAGTGCCCGATTTAGTGCCGGTCCGATGGTCTGAAGGCGCGCTTCGCTGTACTGTCGAGGTGAGACGAAATACACGACCGACTCTTCCCTCCAATTTACAGCGATGCCAATGCTAATTATTCAAAATCCCCAAAAATCAAGGTAAAAAATGTGGGGAAAGCAAAGTTCACATTCCCCACAAATTCACCACATGTAATATTTATTTATTCGCAGTATTTATTATATTATTACTTTTATGACTATAAATCCATCTCCTAAAAATATATCAAATAAATAAAAAAGCGACCATCTATATACGTTACGCTAAAATTAAAAAGGATCTCAACAAATTAAATTAAGATTAGACCTTAAGCTTGACGAGTGGCAAGTTATGGTGTGAAAGCACCAACTGCTGGGCTTTGTTTGGCAATAGCTGATTTCTTTTTTTTTCATACCGGGAACCGCC